TTTTTTTTTTTTAATAACGTGAATTTCATTTTAACGCTAATTAGTCATCCAATTCATTTAGCATCATCTTCATTTAGCATTATTGAACATGCCAATTACTATCATTATTATTAGTATGCGAATGATATCAAATAACACAAAATTTCTAACATTCATTAAACAAAATAAACCATCAATTCGAAATAGTTAACTTTAAAATTGAACAAATATATATGATGATAAAATTATTATTGATTGTATGAAAACTATCAAAATATAATTCTTATTACACTACAATTAATAAAACAGTAACAGATGAATTTGACAAGTATTTAATTGCTGCTGCACTAAAATACTAAATTATTAAAAATTCATTCATTCACAAATGATGAAATACCGAAATGAAAGAATAAAAAAAAAACAAATGAAAAAGAGATTGCAATTATTAAAGTTTGAAAAATTTTCAAGTCAAATTAGTGAGAGCAATGTAATAATCAATTTATTCAATAATATAAAAACACTCATATCTCTCAGAAGTTTTTAAATTATAAAATTAAATAGCTCAGAAAAAGATTAGGCTTTAGAGATTAAAATTTTAAACACATCGATAACTATTTTACAATTTCCTTCCTCATTTTTATGTCTTTTTTTTTTTAAACCATATTAATGGAAAATGAGAAAAGAAAGAAACATATATGCAGGTATTTTCCTATATGTATAGTTGAATTATTTGATCAATTTAGTATTAATTTGGAATTATAATTTAAGGATAATTTTTTCGGGAATTATTAGTGGTAGGTAATTTGATGAAATCGATTACTCTAAGTAACGATATGGAATAATCTTGCATAAAAGTAACGATATAGAATAATCTTGCAAGAAAAATCAAGTGTTAATTTTTTTTTTTTTTTGCGAAAATAACTTTGAATTGAACAGTTTACTTTTCAAGGTCATGTTTCTGAACTTAATTATTAATTAGAAGGGTGTATATGTTCATTGAATAGTTTGTTATAATACGTGTATGTTGATAATACAAGTTTGGATCTAAATTATTTTATTTGAATTAAAATTTCACTAATTAGAAAATATCAACAAAAATATTTCATATGTTACGTTTGAATTTTTTTTTTCAATAATTTTAATAATTCTCAATAATTTTCCAATATTTTTTTCTCGTTTCAAAATTCTTAGCGCTTATCAATTTTTACCGTATAAAAAAAATACAATATTTATTAGCTATCTAAAATGAAACTTAACTAAACATACCTAACAGTATCACAAATTGATAACAGTTAAGCATATATTTATTACTCAGTGTGAAATTTTTGTCTAAATTCGACTAAACAAATGATTAGTTGGGTAAATTCCTGATTTGAATTATTTGTATTCTGACTCTACTAAATCTATCAATTTAAATTTGACTATTTAAAATGGAAAATTTCAATTCAACAGCATTTTTTTTTTTGGAAAATTCTGGTGAAAATTTCTTCTTTCTTTTATTTTTTTTTTGTTATGTCCCAATAGTTTAATTAATCATTTTTACTTTTGAACAAGTTCAAGGCGATCTCTAAAAATGAAAAAAAAAGGAAAAAAGAGAAAGAAAAGTGCGAATTTTTCGATAATATTTAAGCATGAATAAAGGAAACCGCGAAATGTGAAATCGTATAGCAATGCTAATCGATTCATCACTTTAAAAAAAAGAAAGAAAACAACAAGTTTTCTCGAAGTTTTTAGCATATAATTGATTGATTGCAAAAATCATGCTGTAATTAATGCCTTAAAATTCATAGAAAGATTACTTACAAAAATGTGAGTGATAAATTTGATTCAAAACTTTTTGAAAGATTATACATGAAAATATAAGTAACAATTTGATCACAAAAATTTTCAATGTCGTATTTTTAAAATGATAAAAGAGTTTCGATTAAAACTGTTTACAGTAATTCATAGATATAGTATATTTAAAAGAAAATAAATT